TTGCTGGACATGGGCACCAGCGACCCCCGTGACCCAAAATGGAATAAGCGGGTAAAGAAAATGGATGGATGGATGGACTTTAGGATGTGCAAAAAATCCTTAACACAATCACTGACCTGACTGATGTAGTGAACTAGACTTGCAGCCTTAAACCTATAAAAAGTTAAATAAAGCACAGCTGTAATTATGTTTTTCTGTTCTTTATGTTTAGCCCCCCGTTTGTCGTTAACCGCCCGTCGTCACTATGACAGCAGAAGAAACCATCAATGTGAAGGAGGTGGAGATCATCAAGGTGGTCTTGGACTTCCTCCACTCCAGGAAGCTGCACATCAGCATGCTCGCTCTGGAAAAGGAGAGCGGTGTCATCAACGGACTCTACTCAGACGACATGCTTTTCCTCCGGTAAATACACACAACGGTGATGGGGCTTTGTTCTGTCTGCACACAGGCAACTTGCTGTGAAACAGAAAGTTTCATGTTATAGGTACAACAGCAAAAACTGAATATCGTGGGATAAAGTTCAGTTAGATTCATTACACATATAGTGAAATATTTCAAGCCTTTATTTCTTGTGATTTTGTTGTTTATGGCTTACAAATAATGAGGAAAAATCTGTGTTTCAGAAGGTATGCCAAAGCTGGTTCATTGACTATGCTTTTACATTTTTTATTGATCTTATGCAATCTTGCACTTGTCTGACACACTGAGTTTGGGGTTTTCATTATCTGTAAGCGATAATCGTCAAAACTGACAGAAAGAAAGGCTTGAAATATTTCACTCTGTATAATGACTATATAATGAGTTTCACTTTCTGAAATGATTGACACAAAAATGTTGAACTTTTTCATATTATAATTTTTTTAGGGTAGCACGGTGGCGCAACTGGTAGAGCTGCTGCCTCTCAGCGAGCAGGTCCCTGGTTCAAATCCCGGTCCAGGGGCCTTTCTGGGTGGAGTTTGCATGTTCTCTCCGTGCATGCGTGGGTTTTCTCCGGGTGCTCCGGTTTCCTCCCACAGACCAAAAACATGCATGTTAGGCTGATTGGTAACTTTAAATTGTCCCTAGGTGTGAGTGAGAGAGTGAATGGTTGTTTGTCTCTATGTGTCCCTGTGATGGACCTGTGACCCGTCCAGGGTGTACCCCGCCCCTCGCACAGTGATTGCTGGACATGGGCACCGGCGACCCCTGTGACCCAAAATGGAAGAAGCGGGTAAAAGATAACGGATGGATGGATGGATGAAATTTTTTTTTTATGTATACTCTCATATTACATGCCTGGAAAAAGCCAAAGTGGAGATATATGGATGCAGTTAGAGAGGACATGGAGGTAGTTTGAGTGAGGACAGAGTGAGATGGAGGAGGGTGACTCACACTGGAGACCCCTGAAGAGGAAAAAGCTGAAAGAAGATGTTTATCTGCTACATTTGAGATTGAGCTCATTACACACTTGACCTGCAATAGATTTAAGGACTGCCTTGAATCCGAGCCAACAGCCTCATCTGCGTTTTCTTTCAGAAAATGCTCCAGAGGAGTTTTTAATCAGGAGTTATTAAACACACCACAGCAAATGGAGATTAAAATATTTACATTATTATGATTCATTTGCACATTTATAGAACTAGCTATAAAAACACGGTATTTTATTTTTATTTCTTTCCAGGCAGTTGATCCTTGATGGCCAGTGGGATGAGGTCCTTCAGTTCATTCAGCCTCTGGAGTGCATGGAGAAGTTTGACAGAAAAAGGTGAGCTTATTGTCTCAATCTTTTTTGTTGTTGTTGTTTTTAGTAAAAAATAACTCATTAGTTCTTTAAATATTTATATATATTTAGTATAGTATAGTTGAACGAGTCTTTAAAGCCTGTAATGTTACAGTAACAAGTAATTACATTTTTTAAAGTTAATGTTTTAAACCGAACATGTGGAATTTGCCCTCAGGTTTCGTTACATCATCCTAAAGCAGAAATTTCTTGAGGCTCTGTGTGTGAATAACGCCATGTCAGCAGAAGATGAGCCTCAGCATGTAAGTTTAAAGGTGAAGCGGTTTGACTTCAATGTGATTTTAGTAGTTTTTATTCTATTATAACAAGTAAATTTAAGCATTACTGTCACCCACCAAGCACATTATTTCATCAACTGAAGTTATTGAAGTTCCATGATTTGGTAGATTATAGTATTTTATCAGTTATGTATAGAGCTCAAAATAACACATTACCATTAAATATCCAAAGAAATTTTGTTAAAAGACAAAGTTGTTATAATCTTAAGGGGATAGAGATATTTGTCAAACCAAAATTCAGAACTAGTCTGAAGGGAAGGTCTACCTCAATCCAAGGAGATGGATTGTGGAATGGTCTAAAGAGTGATGTGAAAAATGCCAAGTCAATGTGCACATTTAAGAAAAAGATCAAAACTGAATTGTTAAAAATATATATATAAAGTAGCTTAGTGTATTTGTTGTATTAGAACTAGAAAAATTAAAAAAAGAGTTGTTAATTTTGTTCTGTTACTTGAAAATTATTGTGATTGAACTAATTGTTTGGAAAAAAAGGGGCAGATATGGTATAAAGTTTATTCATTTAAAAAAGTACAAAACAATTCCATAACAATATAAAAAAGATACAAGAGATTTAAAATGAAAGGCAGCAGAAAGAAGAAAAAATCTTATTATATCTGCCCCTTTTTCAAACAATTATTTCAATCATAATAATTTTCAAGTAACTGAACAAAATGAATAACTCTTTCTAATTTTTCTAATTCTAATACAAAAAACACACTAAGCTACTTCATATATATTTTTTTAACAGTTCCGCTTTGATCTTTTTCTTAAATGTACAATGTAAAGAAAAAATGTACAGATATAATAAGATTTTTTTCTTCTTTCTGCTGCCTTTCATTTTAAATCTCTTGCACATTTTTATATTGTTATGGAATTGTTTTTTGTTTTTTTTAAATGAATAAACTTTATACCATACCATTAAATTTAATCCTAATCCCAGTCTGAAAAAACCTGCTAAATGTGTAGATCTTCCACTCACTATCTGATGTAAATTCACATGCAGAGATGCACATTTAAAGGGTTCCCTCCTCTCACTAAACATCTGCAGTTATCGCAGGACCCAAACGGTCCAGCAGAACTTTTATGCTGTTCTCACATCACCTCTCAGGGGTTGTGCTGCTGTGGCTGACTGCTGTATGACTGATGTTTTCAGTTGGAGTTCACCATGCAGGAAGCAGTGAAGTGTCTCCACGCTCTGGAGGAGTTCTGCTCCTCTAAAGATGATTACAGCAAACTGTGTCTGCTCCTCACACTGCCCCGCCTCACCAACCATGCTGAGTTCAAGGTAAGACATGTCACCACGAGTTACTCTTTTAACTTTATTTGAGCAGACTTTTGTTGTTATTTGCAACAAATCACCCGTGTGCGTTTCTGTGGATGTAAGAAACGGCTGTAGTGGTTTTCTGGAAGTTTTGGCTTTTTTCCTGGGTGCTGAAGTCTTGTTCTGTCCGTCAGGACTGGAACCCGAGCACAGCCAGGGTGCAGTGTTTTGAGGAGGCCTGCAACATGGTGGCAGAGTTCATCCCGGCAGACAGGAAGCTGAGTGAGGCTGGCTTTAAGGCCAGTGGGGATCGACTCTTTCAGCTTCTTCTCAAGGGAGTCCTCTACGAGTGCTGTGTGGAGTTCTGCCAGGTGAGATCCGCTGAACTAGTTTCTGTCCTGATGCAGCTAAAAGGAGTTCCTGTGATATTTAAGATGTAATGCGTACGTTTTTTGACCATTGCTGTGTGCAGAGCAAGGCGACGGGTGAGGAGATCACCGAGGGCGAGGTCCTCCTGGGTGTTGACATGCTGTGTGGTAATGGCTGCGATGATTTGGACCTGTCTCTGCTGTCCTGGATGCAGAACCTCTCCCACAGTGTCTTCACTTGCGCCTTTGAACAGAAGCAGCTCAACATCCACGTTGATCGACTGGTCAAGCCGGCTAAGACCGGCTACGCTGACCTCCTCACTCCACTTATCAGCAAACTTTCACCGTATCCTTCCTCCCCGCTTCGGCGCCCTCAGTCTGCAGACACCTACATGTCCCGCTCACTAAACCCTGCACTGGATGGGTTGTCCTACGGGTTGTCTGGACAGGATAAAAGAGCGAGTGGCGGAGAGATGGTGCCAGGGAAAGGCGTCTCACCAATGTCTCACTCGTTTGCCAACTTCCACTACCCCGGAGCAGGAGGACAGAACCTGAGCAGGAGTCTCATGATGGAGAGCTCTGACTGCCACAGCATCTTTGAGGAATCCCCTGAAACGTACGAGTTCAGAGCTGGAGTTAAATCTGTCTTTCCGTCCCAAAATCAGGCCCAAAACACAGAAAAGGGCTTGTATATCTTTATTTATTTATTTATCATATACAAAATAGGGCTGTGTACCTGAAATGATGTTTGATGTTGTGTTTTGTATTCAGATCCAGGACTGACACACCTGTGGATAAGATGATGAACTCAGGTGGAGCTCAGAACACGCATCCTGCCTCAGCTCCCTGTGAGGATGCACCACCAGCTGGATCTGCTGACAGGAATGAGGTAAATGAGGTATAAATTTAAAATTCTTTAACCCAATACTTTCTGTCTTTATTGTACAAATGGAATAATGTTCTCAAACAATTATGTTCCTAAATACATGTATATTCTATTGAGGGGTGTTGCCGCCAGCTCTAAATAATCTGAATGGATTTAATTACAGCCTTGTCACCGATGAGCTCAGCTACTAAAATAGGTTATGGCCTCATGTTGTCTGTAAACATGGTGTTAAAGCAGAATCTGTCTGTCTGCCTCATGATTTCTAATTTGAGCCTCATTGTGTTTTGCTCTGCCTCCCTTGTCACCCTGGAGATCCACGTAGAGCCCAGAAACAGACTTTGAAGCCTATGTGATATGGTCACTCCACTCCCCCTCTTTTTTCCAAAGATGGCACAATGCCAGGGACTGTCTTTTCCCTAAACGTCCAGAAGATCTGCTTCTGTCTGATTATCAGGGCAGGAAGCAGACAAAGAGGGGAAGTGACCCGTCGTCAGCGCTCAGTTTCTCCCTCATTCCTCCTCTAATACCTGAGCTGACCGGGGGGGCTCACATGATCAGTTTGTTCAGAATGGGAGGATGTTGATCTTTACATTTAGCACTGAAAGCAGCAAATTTGCACCATAAATGATCAGTGAAATTAAATTTGATTAGCTTTTTTCAATATGTGCTCTATGACATCACCCTACTTTTGCAGTGGAAATTTCTACTGTTCTGAAACCTCACAGTTGCATCCAGTTCAAAGACACTTCTTCCCTGTAGAATCTATTTACATGGACTTGTCTCTAATGCGTAACGTGCATCGAACGCTCTGGTTTTTTTCCTCCCCAGCTGCGTGATTCAACGGAGAAGTACGAGGAGTTTTACCGGCAGCGACTTCGCGTGCAGCAGCACCTGGAGCAGAAACAGCAGCAGAGGCAAATGTACCAGCAGATGCTGCTGGAGGGAGGGGTCCAGCAGGAGCCCCCGCCCAACGAAATGCAGAACAGCCTCACAGAGACATTCCTCAACAGGTACAGACACGGCAAATCTTTTACTAAATGCAACTTTTCATACAGGTATCAAGACATCTGGTAAAATGAAAGAAACAGCGTTTCCTCTACTGTTATCCAAGGAGGGCGCCCCGCCCTGTCAACAGAAGAAAGTCCCATGCCTACTGAAGTGTTCTTCACTCCAACACTCCCCCCCCCGCTCCCCCTCCCTCGTCCTTGTCAACAACTGCTGGCAATGTAGCGTTAAGCTAGCGGCGCACAATACAGATGCTGCTAGCTAAGACGTTATAGACAAAGCGCTCTGCTTCTCATGCATTCTACACCCCCCCCCCACCCCCCAAAAAAAATTTAAATAAATAAATAAATAAATAAAATTAATTAAGGGATGAGCACCCTGCCAAGGCAAGTGACCTAGGGGAAACACTGAAATATATATATATATATTTTAATTCCAGCATGTCCTGTAACAATGGAGGAGCAGCTGTGAGAAAAGGTGATGTTGAAGCTCTGAAAATGATGGGTCCCATGTGGCGGTCCCTCACAGGGGACAGCCCCCTCCAGCCTGCACAGCACCATCTGCTCCGATCAGCTGCGCCACATGGGACAATCACCTCATTACAGTTCTGCTCGATATTTAACCTGGGTCCAAATAAACAACTATAATCTTACACGTTTAACACCATTTCAGCAGAATTAACTGGAAGATGGGAAACGTTAAAACTACAAACATCAACTCGTTCATCAATACAAAAGCTCTTTGTCGTTGTCTTTTACAATATTCAGAAGGGTTGCTGCTGTGCACAATGACCTTTACTTTTGTCCTCTTTTGTAGCTTTAATCAGATCAAACTACCCTTTCAGCCCATAAACAGCTTGTAGGCAAAAGTTCTGAAAAATCATCTAATGAGAATTTTAATAAATGGACTGTAATAAAGATTGAAAGACAAATGCTCCTTTTGAGCTGAGCCTTTATGAAGATTTGTTTTTACAGGTCCATTCAGAAGCTGGAGGAGCTCAACGTGGGGATGGAGAATTTAGGAGAAGAGGTGAAGTCGCTCACCCAGCAGTGCAATGGCAATGGTAACACACCCACTGCTGAGGACAACAATAACCCCCCGTCTGTGACGCCAGAGCAGAGCAGGAGCCGAGGGGGAGGGGTGGTCAGCAGCACCCCTCAGCGCTCCGTAGGGGGCCACACGGTCCCGCCTCCTAACGAATCCCCTGTCGTCTCCAGGTTAGTGGAGGTTCTTTTCTCTCGCTTTACAGTATTGTTGAAATAAGCTGACTCGTGGGTGCTGTTTGTTCACAGTGGGCAGAAACCATCAGGAGGGTCTCAGAGTGACTCTCCTGGGTCTTTATCCAGAAGTCAAGAGGTACAGAGCCACAAACAATAAAACCAGTCCAGAAACACACACAGTTATCTAACCTGTTAAAGAAACCGTACATCTCAGGAACAACGAGTATCTAGCACTCCAATGTGTTTAACGTGAACATTAAGGTGCGTTAATGCATTTGTCTTTCAGGGTGAAAAACCTAAAGCCCTGTTTGTAGCCGTGCACACTTTAGAAGACACTCAGGCGGTCCGAGCCGTGGCCTTTCACCCATCTGGAGCTCTGTACGCCGTGGGGTCCAACTCCAAAACGCTTCGCGTGTGTGCATATCCAGAAAAACTGGACCCAAGGTAACGCACTTCATTAAATACCGAACACCAACCTCATTCATGTACTGTTAGAAAAGATTAATGAATAGTTTGCAGAAGTATTAGTTTGGGCCTCCTTCAGCGGGGGTCCAAAGCTTATTAGGAGACACTCAGTGTGTTGAAGTAAATATATTTTTAATTATATTATTAAATTATAATATTTGCTATCAATTGGATAATATGTTTAATAGTGTAAATATAACAGGGTGAAAGAAATAGTTCTTGGATAACTGAACTGACCAACAGTTTTGCTGCTGGTCATGGTCCACGAGAGTCCTTCCCAGGGTCCTCTGTTAGAAACCAGGGGTGAACTTGTTCCTGGGGAGACATTGTTGTCCCAAGCCAAAAAAAAACAACTAACATTTAAAATGTCCTTAGTAAATGTGTTTGGAGAGCAGTTTTTATTTGATGCATGTTTCTGATTATCTGTATTTTCTTATTTTAGTTCCTTGTTTGTGTTTTTCTTTCTGCAGTTTTTTTTATCTATATTAAATAATGTACACAAACAAATGGGTTAAGCAGAAAGTCTGCATTAAAAGTACAAAAATAAATAAATAAATGGATGAAATACAGACTGAGTCTGAAACTTTTTCCAGAACCCCTCTGAGAATAATTTATTTATTATTTTGTATTTCCATTTTCCATCAGTGCTGCATGTCTGCAAACTTTCAGTCGTGTTCAATATTTCAGTTTCTTTTTTTTATTTGAGATTTTCCAGTTTTTAATCAGACGGTCTTGCTGCAGCATCCTTTGCTGCTCTTCTGGAGAATTAGCGCCATCCAGTGCTTATTTTGACAAACCAACTGAACTCTGAAACACCCGACAGCAATAGAATAGACAAAGATTCACATTTTGTTTATTTTCATGTTTAAAATGCTTAAATATACTATTTGAATTGAGGGGAATATATGTGATTGTGCAGACTTGGAGCAGAACTAGGCAAATTATTCAGCTGATTTCTAAAGTGTGTCATTCAAAGTGTCTGGAGCCTGAAACAGTTGTATTGAAAGCATATTTCCACCCTCTAGTTCGTCAAGTCCCATAAAGCAGCCGGTCGTTCGCTTCAAGAGGAACAAACACCACAAAGGCTCCATCTACTGTGCAGCCTGGAGCCACTGTGGGCAGCTGCTGGCTACAGGCTCCAACGACAAATACGTCAAAGTCCTGCCTTTCAGTGCGGAGACGTGCAATGCCACAGGTGAGAGTTGTGCACAGGATTAAACAGTAAGTTTGTTGGTGTCAGTTCTTATGTGTGTGCGTGTGCTTTCAGGGCCAGACCTGGAGTTTAGCATGCACGATGGCACCATCAGAGACCTGGCCTTCATGGAGGGTCCAGAAAGTGGAGGAGCTATTTTGATCAGCGCTGGAGCAGGAGACTGTAACATCTACACCACCGACTGCCAGAGGGGACAAGGACTGCACGCGCTCAGTGGACACACAGGTACACACACTGCTTCTGCCACGTCCATTTGAGCTCTACGTTTAGAACCAGAGAGGAGCTGATGTTGGTTCTGTGCAGGTCACATTCTGTCTCTGTACACGTGGGGAGGCTGGATGATTGCCTCTGGGTCTCAGGATAAAACCGTGCGGTTCTGGGATCTCAGAGTGCCGAGCTGCGTGAGAGTAGTGGGGACTGCTTTCCATGGTTCAGGTACAGTTGGTGTCTTGTGTGTGTGTGTGTGTATCAAGTATTTACCCCACTAATCTACTGCCTGAATAAATGGATAAATGTTCCACTGGGTGTTTGTGTTCTCCAGTTTAAAATAACTTGTTTATTAATCATGTCCAGTGACTTATACAGCTACGCCCCTCTTCTTTACTGAGCAGGCAGTCCTGTGGCCTCCGTAGCTGTCGATCCCAGTGGCCGTCTCCTAGCAACAGGACAGGAAGACAGCGCATGCATGCTGTATGACATCAGAGGAGGACGGATCGTCCAGGTGTATCGGCCACACACCAGCGATGTTCGGTCTGTTCGCTTCTCCCCCGGAGCGCACTACCTGCTCACTGGCTCATACGACACCAAAGTCATGGTCACCAACCTTCAAGGTACGTCAGGAGGTCCAGTACAGACGACGACCCTCCGCTGTGTTGTGGGTTAATGGTGTGAATGTTTATGAAGCACTATTGTGATCCATTTTCTTCTGTGTACTTTTTTCGGCGCGATCCTCGTTCCTCAGTTTTCAAGCTATTTTAACAAGTCATGTCAAAACATTCAGCTCTTTCAGGACAATCCTGCTGAGTTGTGTTATTGGTGCAACTTTAGCTTTTAGAAATATTTAGCCTTTTCTGCCATTTTTTCTCATATAAAATGAATTGAACTCACTTTGCTTCCTTCAGATCTTTAGATCTGTTTACAACCTTTTACTGCTCTTTTCACTTTTTGTTCTGCTTCAGCTTCTTTCAGCTTCCTTGTGCAAACTTAAACATTTTTTCACCTACTTTCAACTAAATTTCAGCTATTTTGTGCTCTTTTCAGTCTTTCTGCTAACTAGAACATTTTGTGCTTCTTCTAACTTCTTTCTGCTAATTTCAGCATGCTATGCTCCTTTCAGCTTATTTTTGAAAGTTTCAACTTTTTCTACTACTTCAGCTACAGCTGTTTATGCTAGTTTAAGCTTTTGCAGCTAATTCCACATTTTTTGCACTCATTTCAACTTTTCATTCATCAAAAATGCGTTCTCTCCACTTCCTTCTTGTAATTTCAGTTTCTTTCTGCTTTTTTAAGCTCCTTTTCAGCTGTTTTTTTGTTTTGTTGCTAATTTCAGCTTTTTTCAGATAATTTCCTCATTGTTGTGCTCATTTCTTCTTATTTAAACCTAATTCAGCAAATCTGTGTTCTTTCTGTTCTGCTAATTTAGCCTTGTTTTTGTATTTCAGCTACATTTCAGCATGTTTTAGCTAATTTTCAGCAAGTTCTTCTGCAATAAACATTCACACTGCATTTTAGCAGGAAATGCAATTTCTCTAGTTTAAGTAACACTGCCTATGATGGAAAATAGGATAAATTATTTTTTAAAGATACACTAAAATCAAAATGTTACAGTAAAACCAAACTACTGACACTCTCCTGTGTTCGTAGGTGACTTGACCAAGCAGTTGCCTCTGACTGTGGTGGGAGAACATGGCGACAAGGTGATTCAGTGTCGATGGCACACACAGGACCTGTCCTTCCTCTCTTCTTCTGCTGACCGCACCGTCACATTGTGGACACACAACCCTTAACACTAACATTGAAGCCATTGATATAATCTGAAAGACTTGCACACTCTCCTAAAACTATCCTTCCCCATTAAGTCCAGTCTTAACCATCCATCGTATTTAAACACAAACAGGTGAATGAGCCTTTCCCCTCCTGTAGGAAAGCAAATGGGAGACATCAAAAGCACATGTTGCATGTTCCCATCACCCTAATTGTTCTAGAGGTGTAAAACTAATTGTACATAACTTTTGCTTAAATTCTGTATCTATGGTTCCCCTTAACATACACCAGTTTCCTTCTGCATGTCCATTTGTTGTGAACTTGTGGCTGTTTAACAGGGCAGGAGGTGTTTGCTCAGGATGGTGCCTTCCTTACAGTTTCCCTTCACAGAAATGATCTTAGTCGTTTTTCTTCAGACTTTAAATTGTTTTAAAGCAATTGTACATTCCCTGTTCGTATAATTTTCAAACAACTGCTGTAACGCTGCTATTGTTTTATGTCGGACATAATCTGCCAGTGTCTCAGTAGTGAGCTCTTCCTGTGAACGCTGTCAGTCAGCTGTGGCGTCTGTTACTGTAACCAGAGCGTCGCTACAACTCCGAATGTGTAAATTAGCAGGTGAGCTTGTTTTAAATATTAAATCAGTGTTTGTTTGTTTTTTAGCTGGTGCCGATAGTGGTTTGCTTGCAATCGAGGAACTTTATTATTCAAGCATCAAAGGGAAGTCCAGCATGTAAACTGTGGTTGAATATCCTGACATTTATTTGAGACTTTTCCGTGGCCAGAAGCTTTGGTCTGTCTGCTGCTGCTGTGGCAGAACAGTAGGTGTCAGTCTTTGCAGACCTGAGGTCTATGTGTGCACATTGACGTTCAAATGGAAGCGCAGGTGTATTTATGCGCAGGAATATTTATTTGGAAAATTGTATTTGAGGTATATGCATTGTTTTTATATTCTCCATGCACATTTTGCGTGTTAACATTTCAAATGCAAATTTACTTAAAAGTTTTATATTAAAGTTATAATGCTTTTGTAGTTGTTTTAATTTGTTTGTAGAAATGAAGCTAAACTAATACATGTATTTATTTCTGTGGTGTTAATTTAAAGTTAATGCTTTAAAAATGCTAGTGGCTCCTGTATTAATGCGTTATAATTCTCATTTTTATAAAGTGATTTTAACTTATTTGAAGCTAACTGAAGTGTTATGGTTGGTACGTTCAATAAAGTGTCTTAGTTTTGATGTTGTGATGAATACTTCAGAGCATTTAAAAACATTCTAATGAAATCACTCCCAAGTTTTATTTTTGAGCTCATCTGAGCAGAAAGTACAAAAAAATTGTTATACTGTACACGGGTTAATTTCTTATTGTCTGCTTTAAACAGTTCTTCTTTTACCTCAAAAAAACAACCTGATAAACACAATACTTTGAGAAGAGCGCTGTACTTTTGTGTTCATACTAATGCAACACTGTGTTGCTTCACTGTGGAGGGACGGCTGTTAAAAATCGTAATAAAAAAGTACAATAAATACAAACACAACTGCAGTTGTGTATTAAAAACTAGACAAAATGAAATGCTTTATAGAATCATTCAAAACGATAACATCAAGTTTCTCTGAAAGTACTTTGTGAAAGGAAGTCCTTGTTAGCATAATATTTTTCAAAAGTTTGTTGTACATACAATGCTGACAGTGCTTTGTTTCTGTCCAATAGGACAAATGTTTAGAGACACAGGGCCTGTTAGTCACACTGCTGTTCACACCTTTGAAAGATTACACGAAAATGAGATATTGTCCCTTTAGTGTTTAGTTCACTCTGAGTTGGAGGTGATCCTGGCAGCAGAAGGCAAAGTGACGCGTTGCTCATCCATTCGTTTGGCCTGAGAGCGCATGATGAGGCTGAAGAAGTCCTCGTCTGGTACAGTGGGTCCTCGGACGGGTGGAGGGGGAGGGGCGCAGCGCTGATCATCTAAACGAGAGCCCTGGGAGGAAAACGTGGAGTCTTAACATCTAGTTCAGCTACAGTTAAATTTAGTCGGTGCTTTTCAGAGTGCAACAAACTGAAATCTGATCCGATACCTGGCACTTGACGAGCATATCAAAGAAGTCGTCGTCGGGCTCGGCACTGTCAGCGTTGGCCATCAGGTGGCTGAGCACGGCCTGGTTGCTGCTCTGATTGAGTCTCAGGCCAGGTAGACTTCCCCCTCCAGCCGAGGACTCGCCCAGCCTCCTTCCTGAGGCTCCAGCGACGTTGACAGACTCTGACACAGCTGCAGATTAAGAAGCAAACAGTGCACCTGATTATGAAGCGTCTCTGAGGACGTCTTAAACTTTTGTTCATGGACGGTGTGGACTCACACTTTCTGATGGTTCTCGGAGGTGAACCTGGACCGCTGTTTAACGATAACCTGCTGCCTCTGTCCTGTATTGAACAGCGCTGGTCATCCATACGGTTGCTCTGGAAACGGCTCAGAAGGTCGAAGAAGCCCTCCTCTCCGATCATGTCGGGACTAAGCCGCTGTTAAAACAAAAAGTGGTATTTGATGTTTGCAGGAGGCACGTAGTGACACATAGTTATTAAAGTAAAGTGTCCTGTCCGTCATACTTTCTGTGGTCCCTGCACTGAAGTCTGACTTGTGTCCAAAGTGTTGCTGGTGTCTTGAAGGACTTTGCTGGAGCCCCCAGCTTTGTATTTCTTCCCACGCAGGCGGCTGACAAAGAACAGCTTGGAGGAGCTCTTAGCTAGGGAAGGTTTAGACTGTTTTGTCAAAATGTCACTGTTCCATTTTTGACCCTTCAAAACACAAAAGTGAACAATTTAGAAAACGACAGATGATCTCATCATTCTTCAACTGAGACTGCAGTTCTTACATTCATCTTGTCTGGTGTGAGTTGCATCAGCTCCAGGTTCTCCATGCTGTGACGTCTGCTCATTCTGGGTCTCGCTCCTGCAAAACAAAAGCATACATCGTAAACACCACGAGTAACTGAACTATGAAGATAAGGTCTGTCAGCATTGTGTACCATGCTGGTTGTAGTCTATCTCCTTGTTTTCAGAAAGTGTGGAGTTGTTTGTGCTGTAGCTCAAGCCCAGGACTGTCTGGAGGTCAGACACATTCATACGAGCTGTCAGCTCTCCGCTCCTGTCTCCAGTCTGGAAGAAAACGGGGAAATGATCACATCAGCGCTGCAAAAAGGACTTGTGGATGCATGTTAGAAAGATTGTTTTAAACAAAAATTGCCATTTTTAACTATGTTAAGTCTAGCCTATTAAAGCAAGTTGCTGTTACCTCTTTGCAGATTTCCAGGTGCTTCTCAGCAAAGTGCATGGCTTGATCATGGTTCCCCAAAGCAGTGTGAGCATTTCCAAGACTCCAGCATGCACGACCCTCCCCGATCCTAGAAATAAGAATGAGAAAACGTACAGAAATAGTTATTCATGTGGCACTTTCAAAGCGCAGCAGAGCTCAAACGTGTTTGTTTTATACCTGTCATTGAGGTCTTGAGCTATGATGAGGTGTTTGAGGTGGTAGTCTATGGCTCTCTCGTAGTCTTGGAGTAATGTGTAGGTGTTGCCCAGACTGTAGCATGCCTGAGCCTCCACCGCTCGGTCCTTCAGCTGCCTCGCCAGCTGCAGTGACCTCCTGACAAACACAGACAAGCTTTAAAACAATCTGAGTGACTTTTCCTTTTCAACTTAAAACTACCTTATCAGAAATGTCAGGGAGCACACACCAAAATTTATATACGAGAAAACGTTTTTCAAAATATGCAGTTTCCTTTGAAGACCTAAAAATCGCTGTTAAAAAAGTTTTTTTTTTTTTTTAAGCTTTATGAAATAAATTTAAAGCCACAAAGATAAAATACTGTCTCCTAATGTAAACATGCATGGCTTACTTGTAATGCTCAGCTGCTACTTCAAAGTCCCCCAAAAAGATGTAGGCGTTCCCCAAGTTGCAGTACGCTCGTCTTTCTGCCGAGCGATCGCCAAACTCTTTAGCTATCAGCAAACGCTGGAAAAGAAGCAAAAAATAATGCATGTTTACACTGAACTCTTGGTAACCAAAGGGTTGTTGAAGTTTACTCTCACCTGTTCGTGAGAAGCCACGGCTTTAGCAAAGTTTCCCAACAAGTAATGCGTGTTGCCAAGGTTTCCATAAGTTCGCCCCTGAGCAGCCCGGTCTCCAAGCTCCTTCACTATCGCCAGATTTGACCTAATCAACCACAACAAGAAACAAATCAGACTACTGGACTCATTGTCCAATTTAAATATCTAATATTTGCATTATTAAAACATATTGTGATTCAAACATCCAGTGGTTAACTTACTCATAATACTCTGCGGCCTTCCTCAGTGCCGTCATGACCTCCACTGGAAAATCTCCAGGCTCAGCTCCGCTCCAACAAATACTTTTGCCTTTGGCATGATACACATTGCCAAAGTTATAGAGAGCTCGTGCTTGCCCTACCTAATGTAACCCAGGAGAAAGGTGTTGTGGGTGAAAGTGAATTGAACATTGAATGTTGAAACATTGAATGTCTGAATAACTATGTGTTTGAATAAGTCGCCTCACCTTGTCACTAATGTCCCTCACAATATCCAAATGTCTCTGACAGCAAACCACAGCCTCGTCAAATCGCCCCAGGACCTTTAACGTGTTGCCAAGGTTTCCACTGGCTTTGGCTTCTCCAAGCAGGTCACCAATTGTCCTAAATATAGCATAATTTTAGTAATAATAAATACAGTGGTAAACTTGCAGAATGCTGTATGGGTAAAGTGTATCCAACCTTGTCAGGGTGAGATCATGTCGGTGGAACTCCAAAGCCTTGGCATAGTCGTGAAGGTGGAAGTACGCATTGCCCAGCTGGCTGTAGATGGCACTGAGCACCTGCAGGTCCTCCGTGCCTACCTGGATGGCGGCTTCGAAAAAGGAAACACCTGCTCTGTAGTCCCCCACCTTACAGAGCCGCTCGCCCTCCAGTGCCAGCTCTAGGCAGGACACCTCCATCCTACAGCAGAAAAAGAGCCTGTCAAACAATTTAATTCTGGCTGACCGAAAACTAACTAAACTACAGAGGATGCTCAGTATCTGGAATCCAAAAGAGCGCTGAAATTTAAGGTGAAAATCAGTGAAAATAGGTCTTCTGTGGTTAGAAGTTAACACCAAATGACCAGATTCCACTTTCAGCAGGGAAATAAAACCTCTTTCAAGGCTTTCATTAGGGAGTGTTTTTTTAGTTACTTCCTTCCATTTACACAAAACAATGGCTCCAACTGGGGGCTTGTTTATTATGGTAGCTCTCACATCCTTTTGACATGACCCAGAAAGTAAAGTTTCTTTTCTGGTCAAATATCTCGAACCAGCATAACTGTCTTGTTTACGGTCATTGCTTTAAAGAAAAATAAATTCTAAATATTCTGTTACCAAAAAAATAAAACATGGTTTGCTGGATTATTACTACAAGCTTTTCACTTTCAAATTACACCATAGCTGCACTCTCTGCTTCTCTGACAGGGTAATCGATGCAAATGACCAAATTTAATTTATTTGCAGTGTTTGGGAATTAATTTTACAAAGTGCCAGACAATGACTGGTTGCTTATATTCCAGATTAAGCAGCTAATTTGAGCAAAGAAAAACACCCATCCAACTTTTGTTTTTCAGGAAACTGTTGTTCGGAGATTAGTTTGACTAAAAATTCTGTTCAGTTTGTTTATCACGTTTTCCTCCTGTACCCGCCCAGTGGTTATCTACTTGCCCTCAAGGACTGGAATCCTCACACAGTAAAACCTTATGCGGGCAATTGTGTACAACTGAAATGACGCAAAAGCACCGATCGCAGCAGCTTGTCTCACAGCACAGCCAAGCTATAATTTGAGAACAAACGCAAACACCATATCCTGAATAGCCAAAGCTCAGTTCAGCAGTCTTAAGCCTAAAATTAGAGAACAGCTTTTGTTTACTACCAATGTAACATTACATTTGTGGCAAATACTAGCCTACCTGCCAGCCTTTTGTTTCCTACAACAACAGCAGCAGCACGTGGAACATCTGAGTGGCATCTACTGAGGTTTCTTCTGAAGAAAACTTCCAGACTGCAGTTTCTTCTGTTTCTCTGGAGCATGGACGGTTGTCTAAAACCTCACACCTACAGAGCAGTTTTACTAGAAGAACTTAATTAAAGCCTAGTTCATTGCAATCCAATAGATATTAAAAATAAACTACCCTCCTCAGGGATACAAACACTTTTAACCGACTGACGTCACAGAGGTGTTTTAGCATCACGCACTGGAAACCTTTCAAGGAGACGTGCGAGTTGTCACAGTATTAACTTCCAATGCCTGGCAGCAGGAAAGTTGCTCCATCAGCACTTTCTCAGCTAATATGCTTGTGTTCTCTCTTCCAATGACCTGGTCATCTGAGATTATGCATGTAGAGTATGCACTTGACGGATTATGGAGCTGGAGAACACTAAGTAGCTGGATTAGATCATCAGACATGAGCAGACTCTGCACTGTCTAATGGAATCAATTCATTGACGTTAACCAACCTGTCAGTCTGGAGAAATCCTCCCACTTCTTGCGAAGCACAAACGGCCACCGTCCCAATCACATGAACACACACAAGGCCATAAACAAAGCCAGCAGGGATGAATTTTTCAGTACTTGTTTAAATATTGATGGAAGACTGGAGCAGGTCTTTCTGGGGTTTGACAGGTCACACCTGCTGCAAGTGTACCTGGGTATGAAGAGGCAGCTGGTTGATGGTTTGTTTGAGAAGCACACCTGCCTTCAGACAACGTTACAGACAACACCATGTCCAGTTCCCCGTTCTATAATCCAACTTGGGCCTCTTGTTTAATAAATTTGGCAAAAAAAACATATATTACATTACAGACACATCCCTTAATCATCAATAAATATTTTATTAAAAGCAACCCTTAAAACTTTACTTTTCCAACCCTGTGACTACAAGTCCCCTCCACCAAAAACAGTAAAATTCCTACCTGTAGCGGACATGAAAGGGCTGCTCCTCGGCTTGCATGCTAACCACTGAGCCACTTGTATCCATTGAAGTACATAATATGAGGGAAAATCCCAGTTTTGTTCCGGAAAAAATGGTTGCGTTTTAAACAAAAATCGCCAAAAAGAAAAATCTGAGAGTTGGTTAACGGCCAATGAAAAAGTCACCAAATGTGGCAAAGTTGTTCCACTGCTAAAAACGCACCGGCAACGATAAACACATGAGTGTTAGAAGCTGAAGAGTAACTGAGCGCCAGTCCACACAGCTGCTTTCGTATATTGTGCGTTTTGCGTCACTGCCTCTCTTGTTCGCAGCTCTCTGTGAAGAGAACACAAGATGCTGAAGGTGAAGCCTCTTTCTGGCTACACACTTCCATGGCAACACCAACCAAACAGCAGCGTGCACAAGCAGGGCAGGCAGGAAGCAAGAAAAGGGGGTGGGGAAAAAGATGCGTAGCTGAGCTGTCGGTCTAAGACGGTGACTCAGTTCATCCAGACTTGGACTGCTTGTGGGTTTCTATAAGGTGACAACATTAAAGCCTCACACCTACTGTATGTGAGCAGAGAAAGCAGGTACAGTACATTTAAAGTGTTCAAACGCAAATCCTTGGTCAAGAAATCACTGAATGGAAAGAGTGCCAAAACACCTGTTATATAACTGGTTAAGAAAATAACAGTTTTTAATTTAAGAGTGAAACCTCATGGGGACAAAAAAAGCATAAATAAATACAGGACTTCCACCAAAACAAAAGACAACAACAGACAAGTGACATTGGTAAAAGAGGAGTTACAGAAAGTAAAGACCCAAGCCAGACATTACCCAAATTCAACAAGGATCACATTGCCACCAAATGCACCCAATTTTAAATTATAGCCCCCTCCACACACACACATAAAATATAGCAGACCATTCTTCGCTACATGGTTTAGAGCTTCATATGAAAGTGCATACTGCAGAACAGTTTACTTATCTCTACATTTAAAAAGCACTTTATTAATAAATACGTAATAACTGATGTAGCATACCGCCACAGTGTGTGTATTTAAAAATAAAACAAGTGACTGAGAAATTCAGTCAAAATGCTAACTAGTTTTAAACAAGAGAGCACTACTATCGCATTTCTTCAGCACTAAATCTGAATAAATGTGTATCCCTATTCTTTTCCCATCTCGACATTCCAACCCACAAATAGGTCACTTTGAATGATTCCCGTTATCTTTGCAGATGGACCTATGAGAAATGATGTGTTTCTTGTATAAAACACCAAGAATGAAAACAAGAACAAAGCTGAGCATCAAGCATGATGAAGTGTAAAATAAAAACTGTAATAATTGCTACAAGATTACACTAATATACAACTCAATGCAAAAAGGCCAGTATCTTGTTTTGGAATACAGTTCTGTTATTTCTGAATCCTTACAAGTGTAGTTTATTCGTATTGCAGTAAAAGCACAGATTAATCTGAAAATACATAAAAGCAAAATGTTTTGAGAACAAGAATGTTTCTGTCACAGCTTACTGATGCCAGAATGAATTTAATATTAGGATTTGAGCACAAATAAAATGCATTATCACAGTACAGACTTAATACTAAACACAGAACTGAGAAGACAGGTCTTAATTTAATTGTCAATATGCTGCCCAGTGTCTACAACTTGTGTTGCACCAATGGCAAAATTATTATTTTACCGCAATTCATAAAATAACTACAGCAAAAGACACTTCAATCATGTTGAGGGGTAAATAAAAACTTTTAAAATTTCAATCAATTTCAATTTTTGATAATTTTGTTATTCCTTCTGCTGTGTGACTGTTAACAGTAATGACACAATTTAATTCTCAGGGCCTTTCAGTACATGTTCTCACACATTATTATAATCACATGTTGTCAACTAATGCATATTTTTATACAACCTTTGCTCTATTTGCCAACTGGGTGTGTTTCTGTCCTGCCTTCCTAACACAACCTAAACAACTGATGCATGTTAAAAAATAAATGAATACGGCTCTTTCAATGACAGCTGCACAGACGGTAATCATTGACTCTTTTAAAAACCGCAAAACGGACATGATTTCATCTTGTATTTGTGATAGTTGTGGTCTGTTTTCTTTTGGCTTTGATACACTAAAATTACTACTGAACATGACTGTGAAATCTAAATATGGACACATCACTTTTACACAATGAGGCAGCAAAAGCCTGCATCAAAACAAAGGACAGAAATAACTCTGTACTTACCGGTAATTCCTACGCAAAGGAACAGGAAATCTGAAGAGCCTGAAAGGAAAAATGTTTTGATCATGAAAAACATTTCACTTAATAAACCATTGATACCACACCTGGTTACATATCTGTTAATATATGTCCATTTGTAAGATTTTTTAAAAATATTTCCTGGAAAGTGTTACACAGATTTTAAATATATTTCCTTTACTTAAATAGTTTAACAGTGCAGATGTTTCCACCTTAATTTTGTTTTAAGTAACAGATACACCAAGATAAAAAAAAATAAACAATGATTTGCCCTAAATTTGTAAACTAAACGAAACTCTGAGTTTCATTTTCCAGCTTGATGCTAATTTTCCTTCACTTTTAGTTTATTAGTAGCCATTTTTAACTAGTGACCTGGTTGTAAACATAAATAATATACAGGTTCCCTATAGTTTAATCTAGAGAATACAACATGTGCAATAATGTGACTTTCTAGAAACTTAAAATAAACGTGTTATAATAAATTAAGAGATGATAAGGAACAACATTGCAACAGTTATTTGTATTTACGAAACATGACCGAAAGTTCATTTTCTGTAATAAATGTTTAATTATTTAAAAATACTCTACAAATTATTACTTTACAACAGGTTATAATAAATCGACTTTTCTTTAGTTGGTTCGATTATCTGTCATTCTTGTGCCCTTTAAATTATGTCAGATCTAGTCATTTTATCATGCACGCCAGACTAAGAAGTGGAATATAAACATCAAACTTTACTATGCGCAAAATGAAATGCTTTCAGAGGAACTGAGTTCCAAATACAGTTACTTTATCTCTTAAGTAAGTATCTCTGTGCAGCTAATTCTCTGCAGCCTGATTAGCTCCGTTAGCTTGTTAGCTAAGTCAACTTACGTTAAGCGATCCAGCTCGAACAACGCTTTTTCTTCTTTTGTCTTCACTTTCCCACAAGATTAAAACATGAGTCCATTAAATAAATTGATAATTTTGACTTGTAAAAAGTGTACTGTAAAAACACTGACTTTATTATCCCTTAACATTAACAAAACTTCGAATAAACTACGAAAAAGCGACGAAAAAAAAAAAGTTGAATCAGCACGAGCGTTGTGTGTTTTCGCCAAACAACCAATCAGACGTCGGCATTCAAAGATAGCCACGCCCCGAATAACAGTCATTGGCCCAATGAATTTGAACGCAGAAAGATGACGTAATAATTCAGCTGTCACTGCCAGAATGAAAAAGTTTTGACACACCTTTGACTTGAACTTGTGAAAAGTCAGAAGAGATGGCTGCTTAAAACCGGTTTGAAAACGTACAAATGTGGTTGTTCTAAAACCTACTCGCTTTAGCGAGGTGGCGGTAATGGTGGAGGAGGTTTCAGTACCGTTACCTAGCAACCAGACCCCGCTTGTGCTCCCTTCCTGTCCTGGTCCAGACCTGCCTTTTAACTTACATAATTTATGAAGAAACTAAACCTGCCTTAGAAGCCATATGTCGAAAAAGAAAAGAGTTTCGTAGCTAGTTTCAACATAGTGTCAGGACTCTGGAGCATGTTCTTGGGTGCGATGAAGCCCAAACTTAAGTCCGACTGCAGAAGGACCAGTTCAGAACCACAGTGAGTTACCAGCACACATACAACAGACAGGGAACATGTGGCTCACAGTTAATCACAGACTATTTTAAGAATGCACGTGCTAACGTGTACAGCAGTACTAATTATAGGTGCTTCAAAGTTTTTACATCATAAATTTTAAGTGCATTATTTCAGGTCCACATCTCAGCAAGCTAAGCTACGTTTTCTCTAAATTTCTAAAGAAACCGTGATTAGATATTAAAACGTTGTTTTCATGTTTTTATTTTGGAATTCTGATTTTGTCAAGGTGTCATACATGTTTTCTGAGAAATAACCCAAACACCTTACACACTTACGTCATGCACATCACTCTGCAGACCATATGTTGTTCCTTGAATAATTGACAGCTCAAGACATTTGGATCCATTGTTGTCACCTCGTATCTTGAGTTGCTAAGTGACAAACTGGTGTTGCAACCCTGTACTGACCTCTTTCTGAACACAGTTTACGGGGAGTTTAATAAGATGTTTTCTCTCACAGATAAGGTGCCCATGGACGGAGATTCGGAGGAACTGAGTGATGATGTTCAGGGTGAAGACAGGCCTGTTGTGTTGTGGGAGAAGTGCATTCAGCAGAGCATCTTTGTAGACCTCAGTGAGGATGAAAGTCTCCACCTGAGTGATCTAGAGAGCTCCATAGCATTACATCTCTCCCAAGCAGAGTCAGCTGCCTCGGAGGCTAGCATCCATCTGAGTGGTAAAAACTAATTAATTTTTTGCCTACAGAGTGTCATAATGCAGTTACCTCGCTCTTCTAATTGAGCATTTGTGTATTTTGTGTCCTTTAATTTGCAGGGAGTGCAGAGCTGTCAGTGCTGGAGGACACCTCCTCAGAAAGCAGCACCGTCAGCAGTAAGAACGCAGTCGAGAGCAAGACTAAGAGCAGCACAGTTTATGTGTCGGCCCAAAGACCAAACACCATGCATGATGAGCCACCAGTGAAGCAACAGATTGAGGATCCAGGACAACATACCAGCGATGAAGACCAGGAGGACCTCCCTTATGATGGTGACCTCAAAAGCCCTTATTTCAACCACACAGCTAGCTCTATGGAAAACTCAGGAGGACACACTGCTAATGGAAGTCCACATCCTCCATGTCTTCCTGAGCTGAAAGTGGATATCAAAACCAAATGTGACAACTCTCACGAAGCTCTCGAACCTATGGAAATAGCTCCACCATGCCCTGTTCCTGCAGACATTAACCATTTGTTGCTGCGACACTTCTTAGAGGAGGAGCTGCTGCAGTCAGGTAGGCTGATTGAGGCGGAGACCCTGCCAGAAGTGTCCCTGCTGGAGAGTGTGGACGAGAGCGTCTTCAGCTTAGCTCAGCCACACAGGAGTTCAGCAACTCAAAGAAACATCTCCGAAAGCCTCAATGAAAGGAGCAGAACTGCGTCTAAAGACGAAAGCTTAGAAGTAAAGACAGCAAAAGAAATTAACTATTTTACGTCAGCTGCTTCTGACAGAAATGCACCCAGCTTAGGAAGTTCAAACCAGAGCAGTGGGGATGTCAGCGCTGATGTGGGGAACCAAGAAAACACAGAGGAGGACGATCAGGTTCAGAGAGCCCCTCTGGTGCGTGCGAGGTCCTTCGGTGAGATGAAATATGGCCAGGGTCAAGTTCATTACCCGCTCCCAGACTTCTCCAAGGTTGCCCCTAAGGTGAAAATCCCCAAAACTCCAAGTGGACCTGTGAGATCTGTTCCTCAGTGCCCTAGCCCCATGCACAGAGCCCAGTCTTCCCCGGGGATGTTGGAGGTGCTCAGCAGAGTCCTGGAGGATTCGATCCAGCCTCCAGAGAAGCCCTATGTCTTCAAAGACAGCGAGCAGCCGACTCAACCAGCTCTGGTGCATCACCTGCAGGTAAAATTCAGAACTGAATCGTCATCATGCATTACCTAATGGTTAGGTGTTGGTGTTGTTCATGTCATGTTATTGTAGAGACATTCTGCAGGACTAACTTCTTGTTTTAGGCTGAGTATGACAGATTACTGACCAAGTACGCAGAGGCAGAGAACCTCATCGATCAAATGAGACTAGGCACCAATGTAAGATGGTTCAGTTGCAGTTCAGATCACACTGAAGCTGATTTTTTTTTTTTTATTAGTTTGCAAATGTATGTTTTTTTAATTTTTATAAATTCAGCCCTCTTCAGAAGAAACGTTTTATTCGGAGTTTAATGATGATGAAAGAAAGGCTGAGTTGGATGAAGAAAGTCCGGTCAGACACTTGGTTCCCTCGTCAGGTATGTTTCTGTGTTTCACAGTCAAATTAACTGGTTTACACAAAAACAAATGGGTTTGCTAACTACCTTTGTCTGATTTCTTTGATTAGTTATAAATAAATAAAAAAAACAATAGAACATGGACAAACCTCCCTCACAAAATATTTTCAGTATGAAGCAAACAAACGTGACCTGTCTCATCAAACTGAGTATTAAGTCATAAAGTGGTGGCAGCTAGAGCACCGAGTAACTATTTTTCATACTGGTCATTAGATTTGTCAAAGTATGATGTATGGGTCCTTTGATCAAAATGTACCAAAATATAATCCTAAATAATGTTTTGAAGCACTTTTCTGAGCAGTATCAACAAACAACGCTGATTTTGAGCAGAAAAGCTTTAAATTTCTGCTATTTTCCTGCACGCAAAGCTATTTTCAATACCAGCTGGGAAATCCTGATATCCTAATATGGTTTGAGATTTTTTTCCTTTCGAATAATGTTAAGTAATCTTCATTAGAATATGCTAAAAACAGGATTCAGACCAATTTTCCAGGCGCTATCCTGATTAGCAATACAAATCACGCCTTATCTCTGGAACAGCTCATATGATCTGTGTATCAAAATTAGCTTAAAAAACAGGAATTTAAAAATGTGCTTTGTTCATTTTGACTACATCGGACTTAATCCTTGTTTCGATGTGATGGGTCACAAATATAGTTTTTATTAGTTTACTATAATAATTCTTGAGTATACTAAAAGTTTATTTGTCTGCAGCATGAGCTGCAAAGCAGATTAATATACAAAACAATATCAGTTCAGTCGCTTCAGAATGTGCATGTGCATGAATGTTAAACTGTGTTTGGTGTGCATCAACTTCATCACTTAAGCAGAAACAAATCACTCCACACCCATCAAAGAGGCAAACGCAGTTTCCTCAAACCAGCATGAAGAGACTCTCAGCGACGGCGAGAGGATGACCGCTGAGCTGCGAGACGTCGTCAGTCACTTCACGCAGAAGGTACAGCGAGTTTGAAAATGCTCTGGTGATTTCCAACCTTGAAATCTAAATCGTCGTGCGCACATTTATTAAATCGCTTATTGAGTTTCACGCTTTCAAGGTTGAAGACTTGAAATGTAACGTGAGCAGCATGGCTGTGAGCACAGCTGAACAGCAAATGGTAGGAACTCCAAAAACAGCCACGTTCTTGATTATTATTTTTGAATTACATGTATGAATACAACAAAAAAAAAATGCAAATGTATTTTGTAAGATGTTGAGGAGCATGATGGAGGCCCAGGACCAACTGGAGAGGAAATACATCAATAAGAAGGAGGAGCACCGAGCCTTGGAGATGCAGAACTACATAGGTCTTTCCAGGAACACAGGAGCCTTTGACCCGAACAGGTCTGACGTTTTCTCCTTTCAGATACAGATGGTTCATCTGAATCCTGTTTGCACCTCAGCTCAGCTGTGTTTTGTCACGTCTGCAGACTTGTAGAAGGAGACATATTCAGGATAGGGATGCACCTCGAGGACATAAAGGAGATGATTGACAAAAACATGTACGAGCAGATTTCTCCCCCTCAGTCATCGTCCACTCCCACGTTCACAACCCCGTTACTGCATGTGAAGCCCGCGCTGCTCTCCTTTGACACACCTTCACCTCCACCTTCTCTGCATGAGGTAACAAACGCACAGATATGTTCAATTCAGCACCAAATACTGGATCATTCACCAAGAATCTTTTTACTTTATTTAACTACGCCAATGATTCTGGATATAAAACTTTCACTACAGCTACTATCTTTTTTTGTTGTTATCATTTACAGTTAAATGTCTTGTTAAATTTGTATAATTGTGTGAATGTTTATGAATCATTTACACTATTGTGATCCATTTTTCTTCCATACGTTTTCTGCATCTTTCTCGTTCCACAATTTTTGTGCTATTTCAATAAATCATATATCAAAATGTTCAGCTCTTTCAGGACAATCATGACTTTTGGTATTGGTGCAACTTTAGCTTTTTGAAATATTTAGCCTTTTCTGACATTTTTTTTCTCATAGAAAATGAATTGAACTCATTTTACATCCTTCAAATCGTTAGACTTGTTCACAACCTTTTACTGCTTCTTTCACATTTTGTTCTTGTTCAGCTTCTTTCAGCTTCCTTGTGCAATTTTAAACTTTTTTCAGCTGCTTTCAGCTGTTTTTTCAGTTGTTTTTGGATCCTTTCAGCTTCTTTCTGCGAACTACAACATCTTTGCGCTTCTTAATGTCTTTCTGCTCATTTCAGCTTGTGTTCCTTTCAGCTTATTCATGTAAGTTTCAGCTTTTTTTCTGCCACTTCAGCTTTTATTAGCTGTTTTATGCTAATTTTAGCATTTTTAGGCTAATTCCACATTATTTGCACTCATTTAAACTTTTTTCAGCCCTAGTCAGCTAAAATGTGCTCTCTTCACTTCCTTTTGGTAATTTAAGCTCCCTTCTGCCTTTTTAGCTACTTTTCAGCTGTTGCTGCCAATTTCAGCTTTTTCAGATAATTTCCACTTTTTGTGTTCATTTCTGCTTTTTTCAGCTTAACTGGGCAAACTTGCTCTTTCTGCTTTCTTCTGCTTATTTAAGCCTGTTCTACCTTATCAGCTAGCTTGTTAGCATGTTTAGCTATTTTCAGCTGTTTTCAGATAAACTCACATTTTTCATGGTAATTTCTGCTACTTTCAGCCTAATTAACTTCTTTATGCTAATTTCAGCTTGTCATGCAGCTTTCAGTTTTTTCTGCTAGTTTCAGCTTTTTCTGCTCTTTCAGCTACAATGTCTTTTGATACTAATTTTAGCTTTTTCAGTTAATTCCACATTTTCTTTTAGCTCATTTCAGTTCTTTCCACTTCCTTCTGTTAGTTTAAGCTTCTTTCTGTCTTTTCAGCTTTTTCTTTAGCTAATTTCCTAATATGTGTGTTTATTTCTGCTTATTTAAACCTAATTCATCAAATGTGTCTTTCTGCTTTCTTCTACTAATTTAGGTTTGTTCTTACATGTCAGAATGCTTTTCTTTTGTTTGTTTATTTGTTTGTTTTTAGCTAATTTCAGCTGTTTTTCAGCAAGTTTTCTGTAATAAGCATTCACACTGCATTTTTGCAGGAAATGCAGTTTCTCTAGTTAGGTTTATGTGCCTCTTTCTGCAGAGGATCAGACCTTGGACAGGTACTGCTTCATCACAGCACAATCACATCCACGGCTGATTGAAAATAATCAAACAATCAACGCATGTCTTTGGACTATGTTTTAATCAGTCACTTTAGCAATCACTGGTGAAAAGATCACTGCTGGCGTGCACAAGAACCAGGAATGTTGCCACTCACTTTGGATCCAGGATATTTAATAAATGTAGAAACATCTTTCAGCAGCCTGCATGGAGGATGTGCTGAGGAATGAATGCTGACATTTTACTCAACAATATATGACTGGCTTTTGTGTTTCAGGGCTCAAGTGCAGGTTTGTCCTCACTAAGGTGTAAAACCAACCTGCAGAAAGGAGATGGAGAGGAAGAAACGAAGGAGGCCAGCGAGGTTTTTGTAAATGATGAATTAAACCAAAGCAGCGACGTTGCTGATGCTGGACGTAACATCGACATTTACTGGTATAAATTATTTCTTTTTGTTGCTTAATTTTTAAAAGGCTAAATTCACAACTACATTTCTGTTAAAGTTGGGATGGTGTCTAAAATGTAAATTAAAGTAAAATGCATTTATTTACAAACCTCAAAACCCCATATTTTATTCACTTTAGAACATAGTGAACATGTTTGAACTAAGAAATTGTACCAGTGTTGTAATTTACAAAACATTGTTTAAAGTTTTAAACTTTTTTTTTACCTGTTTTCCTTTTTTACAATTAAAGTGAGTTCTACTTGGGGTGACTGCCCATCAGTTTAGATGTTTAAACAGAGTGAGACAGACACACCAGCACCCTGTTTTAAACCACCATGTTGTATAAAAGGCAGCCTTCCTTGGGACAGATAGTGTTTCAGGTTCGGTGTCGGTGTTCGGTTCCATCGTGCACGGGGGAACGCGGTGTTTGGATCTGCGTGTGCAGGTTGTCTTCTCTGTCCTGTTTCAGGGACTCTCTGGGCTCTTTGGAGGGACAGCGGTGGAAGACAGAAGAGGATGAGGAGGGCCACGAAGAGGAGAGGAGCTCAGCTGTGTCCGAGGGGAGAGACATCTTAGCAGCACACCAGAGAGAAACCAGGTCAGCATCAGAACGGAGGCACCGGGCCGCTAACAGGTAGGTGGTGTGAGATATGAGGGTGGTGTGTGAACAAATAACAGCCGACCACGACTGACGTGAGTTATTCTGGTAAATTATGTGACTCACATGTGCCACGCTGTTAACGTCTTTCTACTTTTACTAACTCGTGTCATCATCTATTTGTGTTTGAATGTCTTATTTATTGTGTTTGTTGTTGTTGCAGTCCCCTAAATCCAAACCTTGATTGTGATCTTGGTGATGGTGTGAGTCTGGCGGTGGAGGTCTCCTGTTCTTCTCATCTTCGCAGAGACTCAGACGCCCGCAGCAGCTCAGAGCCTCCTGTCGGCACCTCGTGTGTTTCACAGGTCAGTGTTCGCTGCGTCTTGTCGGATCATCAGAACTTACAGATGTGACTCTGGAGTTGTGTTGTCTGTGGTGCAGAGGATTGTGAGTCCAGAGACGGACAGTGGCTTTGGAAGCTCCTATTTGAACCAATCAGGCACTGCAGCATTTCAGCCTAATCTGCTCACTGGAAGGTAAAAACAGGAAGAAAATAACTTGGCATGGATCTGACCTGAGGTAACTTCAAATGTTTTTGTTCTACAGTGCTCCATCTCAAAGTGACGGTGTAAGTGGTTCTGACAGTGAAGGTTCCTGCTCACATCTGAACACAACAATCCATTCAGCCCTCCCGTCTGTTCAAGCCCAGCTCTGTGGAGCAGCAGTGGAGCTGTGGGTGGAGAGCACCACCAAGGAGCCACCAGTCAGGCTGAGGGGTGAGTGAGCCCCCTCCTCCCTTTTTTTTTAAGTGATTTTCTCTTGTCTACACTGAGATAAGGAACCTCCACCACTGTCACCATCAGGAACTGAGCAGAAGCTACGAATGCCGCTCCTGCACCACCTTTCTGAGCCTGTCCTCAGCGCCAGCATGGATGCTGTGGACAGACACAGCCCTCTGAACTCCTGCTCCTGCAACGGGTCAGTGTGGCAGAGAAGAAGGAAGATGTGAGGTAAACAAATGTCAGACACATGCATGTGTGTTGTTTCTGTGTGCGCCCAGTGAGGCCATCCTGGCCCTGCAGACTGAGGTGTCCAGGCTGAAGAAGGACCTGGAGGAGGGCTTGGTCCAGCTGCCTCACTTAGCACAAAGGATGGATGATCTCACAACAAAATACAGAGAAGAACGCCAGGGGCGCAGGTCTAAGACCAGAACACCAACTTCCAGCAGGCAAAGACCTAAACCATCAGTTATGAATTAAAAAAAAAATCCAAAACTTTATTTTGTCCTCACATTTGGATTTTTATTCTAATCTTCAGCATGGGGAAGTCAAACAGCAGAGGAGTGACCAATCACATGTCCAATCAGCAGAAAATAGAGGACTGGATTTCTTCAGACATGGATCACAGCAAGAGCAAGGGTACGTCACCACCACTTAACAGTCTAACCTGTGTGTTTGCTGTGAGATGTAGGTACAATGTTTTACTCCTGTGAATTTGATCTGGTGTTCACAGGTACAGAGAGTGTGGATGGAAGCTGCTCTGAGAACATGTTGGAGGAACGAGATTCGCTCGTAGGAAGCAGAAAACATGCTGGAAGTGTTCGCTTGGCTGAGTTTGGAGATACATTTCAGCGTACATCGTCCAACAGAGGTCAGAACCACAAAGAGTGGCAAGTTCTGTTCTTTCATGAATATCTGGACTTTCTGGCAGTGTCCACGGAGAAACTCACCGCCGTCTTCGGCCTTCCTCATGCATATATGTATTATGATGTCATCAGTATGTTGCTGTTTTGGGTTTTTTGCAACTTTCACACTGTGTCCTGTCTAGGACACAGTGTGAGATAAGATCATGTTTTAATACCTCCCCTTCCCCTGTGTTTCTCTTTTCCTATTGAAACAAAAATAGGCAGCGCCTCCCATGGGGCTGCGGTCTCAGATACCTCCATCCCCCCCATGTCTGTTTATTTACAGACGGGCTGTACTGAAATGTAATTTCATTGTGCTTCGGTACAACGACAATAAAGCTGATTCTGATCTTCTGTCTAAAGAAGGTTCAGCTTAATGTGTTGGTCCTCATGTAGGTACAGCGAGGAACTCCACTACACCAGGAGAGGATGATTGGACTAGTAAATGCCAGGTTAGCCAAAGACCACAGGGTGAGTCATTCTCAAGTTCATTAGCAGAATGGAAATAACGATTTTACAGATATAATTTAGCAAATAAGGAACGTTTCAAGAGCTGGATGCAAACTCTTGTAGTTGTTTTACTTCTATAACATTTGACATTTTCACGTAAAATCAGAAAGTGGAACCGTCCATTGCTACATTCCTGCGAATGATAAAAGTGTGCAACTTGTTGGAGTTGTTGTGTTTGTGATCTACAGCCACCAGGAGTTTTATTTCCAACGACAGGTGGTCTCCTCTCTCGACTCCCTCCCTTCAGAAGCCCCTCCTTCAGGTCAACTATGGCTCCTCCAGCAGCCTCCCAGCCAGGTAAACACGCCTCACCTGGACAGTCCAAATGTTACACAAAAACGCTGATTCAGCATCTTGTAGCTTGTTCCTTTCTATTTTTTTTTTTTCAAACTAATTCTGCATACTTTGTGCTATTTTAACCATTCGTGCATCTAAATGTTGATTTTATTATTTGTAATTTCTATACTTTCTGAAATGTTTACCTTTATTTGCAAATACTCTCTCCATGGAGCTATATTAAGATCTCTTCATCTCCTTCATAAGCATTGTGCTCTGAAATCTGCTTCAGCAAACCTGCACTTTTTTAGTCATCTGATGCCACTTTTAGCCACAGTTTTAATAATTGTGGTTGTAGCTACAGTTTAGTTAGCCAAGTTTAGCTTTTTACTACAGTTTTGCTAACTTGAGCGTTTAGCTTTTGGTTTTGCTGATCTGAACTTCAATTCAACATGTTTTACCTTGAACAATTTACGTAACAAGTCATTCGTCAACAAATGTCGTCAAAATCCTCCAGTTCTCTGTGCTCACGCTGCTTTTTCCCAGTTGACCTTCTAGTTCTCTTTAGTTTCCCATGCGATACATAAAGCTGTTCTGTTCTTGTCTGTCACACTGATCCAGCTACAAAGTGAGGGAACCACAGCTGATGTCTGTCTCCTGTCAGAGAAATCACTTCACCCAGTCAGACTCAGCACTCCTGCCCAGTAACATGCTCTTCCAGCAGACACCATCCCCAGTCTCACTACGCTCCAGGACAAGCAGCAAGACAAGAAGACATAGAGGAAAGAAGGTTAGAAGTTTCATCTTGTTTCATTTTTAAATCTCAAACAGTTCATGCTAAAGAGCCTGTTGTTACAGAGTATATTCAGTTTGTTTAAGAAGCCTTCTGTCTGTTTTCCAGGAGGAAGACATGAGCAGGACTTTGGACCAGGCTATTGAGGTTGCCCGCAGCATGAAAAGGACCACAGACCGGATGGCCAGGAGACTTTCTGCTGACCTGGTCCAGGCTCAGCTGCACAGGAAGCTCTACAACCTGCAGCCACTGGGGGGCAGGAAACACCAGACTTTCTAACACCGGCTCCCAGATTACTGTACATCCATCCTGAGGTCAACCAAATACACATCTCATGGAGAAAAAAAATCTAATTTATAAATATACATCCGAGTTTATCTTGGTTTGGATTTTTTATTACTCACAGACAAGTCTAAAATTAACTAAGATTTCAATATTATAATAATAAAACCTGACAACATTGTAAAATATTTTTGTCCACATCATTAACTTTGTGTGGAATGTGTTTTTATTTTATATGCGATGTCTGTTGTAAATTAAATACAACCCAAAACACCAACTACATTGTCTCCTGTGTGCAAAACGCATCCATAATGAGGTCAGTGTGGTTCAGGACGACTGGAGTAATTTTAGTATAAGGGCATAAATATAAATTGTATCTTTTCACAGGGCTCCACCTCCGCACTGTTTCTAAACATGCTTTTCTTTACATGTATTTCACATGTTTGCATGAAATATTGTTTACTGAAGACAAACGAGCAGCCACAGGCAGAAGATGAAGTTCAATCTGATTAAATCTGAGTCAGATTGGAAATATTTTCTTTCAGAAACAAAAACTTATTATTTTTTTATTTATTTAATAGGTATCAACTTTAATCCTTTAAGCTACTGTGCACATTTGACTCCATGAGCACCTATGGGTGCCGCTGACGCCGTGTCTTCTTGAGTTTCTGTTGTGTGGCTTTGTGCTCCTGTTCCTAAAACTTGTTTACAGCGTGGTGTTCAGTTTCTTTGTTGTTCTGCAGGGGCATCAGAGGACAGTCCTGAACACTGTGTTCTGACGCAGGTGTCGGTGCTCGTTAACCTGTAGGCCTTCAGCGGGACACTAAATCAAGCTGTTTGTCTCATATTCAGACATCCGCACAGAGTCAGGCCTTCAATGTCTCCTTCCATTAAAACTCAGGATTTTGATCTTAAGACAAGCAGCTACGACCACTTCCAGTCTGTAAAACGACAAGTATGATGGTTGCAAACATGACAGAGCTGCCGTGTGCTGTTTATTTCTGTGAAAATACAAAATCAGGCTCTTCTAGTCAAACGTTGCTGCTGTTCTCCTGCAGAGGTGAGTTGCCTTGATTCTGCTCTGTTCCACCAAAGTATAAGGAAGGAAATAATTTGACTGTTTCGTTCAACAACAGCAGTTTCACTATGACACTAATCACAAAGTCTGATGTTCTTTGTATTTATTTGTCCAGAATATACAAATACAAGCAAATGCATCACTAAAGGTGCTCATCCTGCACTTTAAGCCTCCGTCAGGCAGCTTCAGCCATTAAAGAAAGACTTCTAACCTCGCTGACTCCTAAAAAGAGACTCGTCTAACCTGCTTTGTTCTGGTCAGTGAAACCAGAAGATGCTCTGCTGACAACCACCCAGGCTCAAAAGATGGACGTCTCACTGAAAATGAAGCGAGTCACAGAACGCAGAGCTGCTGAGACAGGAGCACAGAATTAGTAATATGAACAGAGCAGAAGTCCGGGGCTTGTGATGTCAGTCGATATGGAGAGTGTCTGGTGGACGAGAGTTCCAGGGTTGTGGAGCAGAGTGGAAAGAGGCGGAGAGAGGGCACGGTGAGGTGGATAGAAGAGGAAGAATGGAGTGAATGGGAATGGGTGGTGAAATGCAGGAGATCTGAGAGATGAGGAGGGACGGGGTTATGTGTGGCCTTGAATACAGCAGGATCTTTAACTGAATTCTGAACATGACCGCAAACCAGTGGAATTGCTACTGGGATGATGCGGTGAAATAGTAGTGAGGTGGGCAGCTGAATTATGGACCATTTGAAGTTTTTGGAGGAATTTATGAGGATGGCCGAATAGGAGAGAATTATAATAATCAGAACGTGAAATAACGAGACTATGACCAAGGATGGAAGCAGAGGGAGGAGTGAAGGATTAACTGAGGGAGATGAGTCTGAGCACAAACTCAGTTTTGTCACTGATTAGTTTAAGATTGACTTGAACCAGGATTTGATTTCAGCTAAGCATGGGAGGAGAGTGGAAGTGAAGCATTTGATGAGGGGGATAAGAAGAGCACTGCATGCAGTAAATTGCTATTATTATTATAAGAATGCTTTAAGATTACAACAATGAAATAATGAGAAATCGTACACATTCAAGGTCTGCTGGAGTGGACCAAAATAGGCCATAAAGTAAAACTGATGAAAAAATTCTCACACCAACCTCCCACTGTAGCTTTTGATGAGTATAAAGTTCTAAGACATGGCCCTGCTTCAGACTAGAACGTTACAAATTACAGTAACACCACTGCTCTGATTGGTTACGGTTCAGTTAATTTAAACTGAACTGAAATTAAACTGAATTAAATTGGTTACAGATTGATTGTGTTTATTGGTTTTAAAAAACTTTTTTTTTAGGCTCTTTAACAGACTTGTCATTATGTTATTCACAGGTGTGCCACATTTCAGGAGTCAGTCTGCCTTTTTAATTGTCTTTATGTTTGTAGTAAAATATCTAAAACTCAGTATAGAGATGAAACCTGGATGACTCTTAATTTTCTGCTTTTAAATTCCGAAAACACAGAAATCGTGTTTGTTTGGGACCTAGAAATAAACTTTACAGTCTTCCACCGCCTCTGGATGGCATTAATCTGACCTCCAGCTCTAATGTTTAAAGTCTGTGTTATTTTTGATCAGGACATGTCTTTTAACCCCCACATGAGAAAAGTATACCAGAACTGTTTACCTCCATGTGTAATATCACTAAAAAAATAAACATTTTGTTCAAAAATGATGTAAAACTGGTCCATATACATTTATAACATCTAGACTGAACTATTGTAATAAGTTCATAAGTGGGTGTCCACATTTTTTTAGTCTTCAGTTGATCCAAAATGCTGCTGCCAGAGTCTTAACTGGAGTTAGTGGGAGAGATCATATCTCTCCAGTTTTAGCTTCTCTCCATTGGCTCCCTGTCAAATCCAGAACAGAATTCAAAATCTTACTTCTAACCTACAAAGCCCTCAACAACCTAGCTCTATCTTATATTACAGATCTTATTGTTCCATATTTTCCTAACAGAGAACATTGCTCTCAGACTGCAGGTTTACTTGTGGTTCCTATAACAAAAAAGGTTGAATCATGTCATCTGGACTTCGTTTTTTTTGTTA